GAGCCATTATAAGTTAAATAACCAAGCATTTTATTTTGTTCAGTTTGAAGCTCATTTATTTGACTAGTGAAGCAGCAAGTATATCTATGCACTGAGTGTTCAAAGCACTATTGAAACTATAGAGGTGAAGTCAGGATTGATTCAGCTTTTGAGGATTTGTCCAGAGGTCATGATGTGGTTCTGTCATGGTTCCCTTTTTGGTGGCTTAAATTAGATGACTGTGATCTTGGAGAGCATTAATATGGACATACTTGCATTTCACTCACTTTTATGTTGGCAGGTAGTTGTTGAGTTTGTTTTGGCTTGCTTGTTCTTTATTTTAAATACTCCTTGTGTGTATGAAATGCCAGAATACATGTTTAGTCATGATGTTATGGACAGGAAAATTGATGACTAGTTCTAGAATTCTGGAAATCTGTATATACCTACTGCCCTGCTAGATCCCTGAAGAATAAGCACTGAGGCTATTCCAGCCCCCCCCCCCCCAATTACAGGTATCCCCTTCCTCCTAGGATTTTGGCCCCCTCAATCTACTATTGTAAGCTAGACTAGACTGTAAAGCTGCAGAGTTTATGGCCCAGGATACTGTCAAGTCCAAGCAGTCTACCTCCTGGAGGACAGTAGCACATAGGGAGTAAGAGAGAAGAGTAGCATAAAATACCTAGGAAGGAAGAGAGTTCTAGCAAAATTGATAATCGGTGGAGAGGTGAAAAAGACCTTCCCTCCAGAGCTCAGGTCAGTTTTTTACTTGGTTTTATCTTGACCACCCTTGATAAAGCTCAGGGCCCCCATGCCAAATGTTCTTTGTCCTATTTTACCAGTTTGATTCGTTCAACAAATGTTTCTTAAACATTCCTATATAAGAGGCAAATTACACAGTAGGTAAAACAGAAAGAAAATACTTGTCCTTGTGGAGCTCACATGCCTAGTGAGGTAGTAAAAATTTACCCCTTCCACAAATTCCCCTCCAAGGCGTATCCCCCCGCCAACTTTCCTTTTCTTACCAAAACTCCTCCCTTACACCAGTGGTATAATTGTGTCCTTTTTGGTGGTCATCTTGTTCTTGACCCGCATAATTGGTTTTTTTTTCCTTTGGTTGGTTGTATGATGTAAATTTAAAGAAAGAGTAGAGGAAAAGCCTTGAATTCCTGCCAATGGGTAGTATGAGTAGGCAACAGAGATGTTTAGGTTAAACAGTGAGACAAGATTTATATAGTAATTTGAGTTTTTTTTTTTTTGCAAACAGATTGGAAATCTAGTTAAGTAGAGGATAAAGAAAAGGGAGATAACTGGAGGAAAGGCAGTAGTAGTAGTTTTGGTTATCTGCTGTGTGCAGATCACTAGCATGGTTAAACAAAAGGGGGAGGCTAGACTAGAAATCAATCTAGCCAGATTTTCTAGTGTCTGGAATAAGTCTGTCTTTCTGGGCTTCAGTTCATTTGTCTGTAGATTGGGAGTAAAATTAGATCAGTGAGTGATTCCAAACACTGTACATTAAAAATACTTGGGGCTCTTTTACAATTCTGTCTTTGGCGGGTAGGGGCTTGGACCTATATTCAAAAGCTTGCATCAATATCACCCAAGTTAAAAACCACTGCATTGGATCAATGGCATTCCCAACTGTGGCATCATAACATCTTAGGAAATAAGTATAGCATCCCTTTAACAACTATAGCTATAGAAATACACATACAAAGGGAGCTGTTAGAGAGATTAATGTTAAGATATCAGTTAAGAAACGCACTCACTGGGGTGGCTGGTTGACTCCATTGGTAGAGCATGCAACTCTTGATCATGACATTGTGAGTTCAAGCACCATGTTGGGCATAGAGCCTACTTAAATACACAATACACACACAGGTGTAGTAGTGATGGTAACAGTGCTCTTTTACAATTACTTTTTTCACTACTGTCTTATTTTCCTGCATATTTTAGGAGCATTACGTTTTTTCCTATAGCATTTTTAAAATGTTGCTTTTAATAAGCAGTTTTGAATTTCCACACATCAATGTCAAGTTTCAGTTGCTGTTTATTGTCCCTGAAAGACATAGTTAATCCATAGGCTTATGAATGAGAGTTAGTGGGGCCTGGAAAAATCTAAGCATGCTCAGCAACGCAGTGATACACGAGAGCCGTTAGTGGGATGAGGATTTACAAGACTGGTGACTATTCCTTATTATTTTCCAAAGGATAACTTTGAAGACAATGTCTATAGTTTCCCATTCATTCTTTTATGTAATTGATAACCGAGGTAATAGAGTTTTACAGAGAAACTTATTTTTTTAGGTAGTCCTAAAATGTCACAGTTGGAAGAAGGAAGCTACCTGATAGTTGAATTCTTTCCTCAATATCCTAGAACTGTTTGAGGATCTTTCATTTATCTGGGAACTCACTAAATTTTGAGAAAGTCTATTCTATCTTTGGAAAGCTTTGATCATTAGAAAGTTGGCATTTTTTTTGTGTGGGTTTTTTTTTTTTGTTTTGTTTTGTGTTTTAATTTTTTTTAATTTTAGAGAAAGTTAAAATCTGACTCAAGTCCCTTGCCTTGGGGCCATAATATCTGTTTCTGGGGACACCTGGGTGGCTCAGTGGTTGAACGTCTGCCTTCATGCATATGGTGTGATCCCTGAGCCCCCCAGAATCGAGTCCCAAATTGGGATTCCTGCATGGAGCCTGCTTCTCTCTCTGCCAGTGTCTCTGCCTCTTTGTCTCTTATGAATAAATAAATAAATAAATAAATCTTTAAAAAAAATCTGTTGTTTCATACTGAAAAGTTCTTTAATTGAGGACTAGGTTCACATTTTGATTTTCCCTGACTAATCACATCTGTCCTGGGTTTTTTTTGGAACAGCTTGGTTTTGGAACACTTGGTCTAACTTACTTATATCCCTTCGAAATGTGTTAGCACACAGAATGTATCTTTTGGAAGAGCGGTGTTTGCTAGCCTTCAGCAAGAGATTTCTCACTTTGTTCATACCATGCCCTGTAAGTTAATTTATCTCAGTCATGGCACACTGTAACCCTTACTTTTGACTAGTATGTTTCTCGTTTGTCTTAATTTTCAACTCATAGCTAAGTTATTTGTAAATTTGTTTTCTTAGATGGGACTATAAGACTTGATATTTATTTTAAATTTTATATGATTTATCAATTCCTTTTTTTTTTTTTAAGATTTTATTTATTCGTGAGAGACACATGGGGGAGAGGGGGGACAGAGACACAGGTAGAGGGAGAAGCAGGCTCCATGCAGAAAGCCCGATGTGGGATTTTGGGATTCGATCCCGGGTCTCCAGGATCATGCCCTGGGCCGAAGGTGGTGCTAAACTGCTGAGCCGCCTAGGCGACTCTCAATCTTTGTTTTTGTTTTTGTTTTTTTAAGTTTATTTTTAAGTAATCTCTACACCCAGTTTGGGACTCAAACTCACCACCCTGAAATCAAGAGTCATGTGCTCTTCCAGCTAAGCCCACCATGTGCCCCAGTTCTTCTGAATCTTAATCCAGTGAATTCACTGGTTTTTTTTTTTTTTTTAGCTTGAGATATTGTACAAAATTGGTGTTGATATCCTTTGTTATATCCAGGTTTTTGGTAAAAAAGTTAAGACAAACTCATTTCTAGTACTTATATACAAAGCTAAGGCCCAGACCTATGTGCTATTGATATTATAGTCTGTTCCTTGATTCTAGAAATTTCCCTCTGCCTAACGCTGACTTTTTTTTTAAAGATCTGCCGCCTAAATCTTCTGTAAAACCTTAAGCACTCTTTTCTTAGCTTTTCCTAAGGTTAATTTGCTTCCTCACATGTTTTAAATCCAATTTCAATATATCCTCTTCAGAAAGACCTTCTTTGATTGTCTAGTAGCCTCCCATCATAATGGGATCATTCCCATTTTATTAAACCACTTAACTGTATTCAGAGACACAATCGTGGTTAATTATTTGTTTCCCCTCCTCTAAATGTCAGCTCCATGAGGTCAGAGACTCTGAGTATCTGTGTCGGTTAACTCTGTGTCCCTAGCCCCTAGCATAGTGCTTTGGCACAAGTGGGTACACCATTCATTACTTAACAGAATGGCTTTACTACTATAATGTTTGTCATATTTTAACTTTATGCTTAGTTTGTATAACAAAACCAAAGGCGATATTTACTATTTTAAATTATCGTATTCCCTTTTTACCAACCTTTCAGCAATTCTTAGACATTCTATTGATAGGATAGCATACTTCCAATTGGAAAAATCTGTTTTACTTGACTCATCCATTAATAACATTTGTAAATATCTTTGCGTCCAGCCCAAGTTTTTCCCCTCTCTTTACCCCTAACGGAGTTCCTGAAAGATCTTATCAGTTCCCAGATACACGTAAAATAGACAGGTTTTTAGGAACTTTTGTCTCAGGAGAAAACCTCTAATTTGATAAATAATGTGTACTTGAAATTCCAAGTAGGAGGATCCTAGGCTAAATGGGAGTATATTTTATATTCCTGATACATGCTTATAAATAGGGTTTGATACTTGGTTTTTGTGACGACCTATCCAGTCCTTTTACTAGTTCACCTAGTCTTGTCTGGAATGCTTATCAAGATAACTGTTCTAATGTTTGAGTACTCCCATCTTTATTGGGAAATTAGAATGTTCAGCAATTTGGTTTACATATCCTTTTAGTTTGATTTTAAGCCAACATTATCTTTGTTAATGGGCTAAGTGAAATTTGTTTTGATACAGATGCTAGAAGTTTGTTTTTTGTTTTTTTTTTTTTTTCCGGATTTTTAGTTTTCCTCATCTCTTCTTAAGTACAAAAGTGATCAATGTTCCCATTTGTTGGTAGACAGAATCAGTGTGTTTTTTTTTTTTTCTGGCACCAAGTTTTATACTTGTCTATGAAATTTTTGTAAATAACATCAATAACTTAATATGTATTTTGAAGAGAACTGTGGTTGTTTATGAATTTTTGAAAAAAATGTGTTTACTGTTTCAATAATACATCTTTTTTTTCCCCCCCAGAGAATGGATCTTGGAGAATGTCTGAAAGTTCATGACCTGGCTTTAAGAGCAGATTATGAAATTGCGTCCAAAGAACAAGATTTTTTCTTTGAACTTGATGTATGTGTCTTTTGCTTTAATGGGTTAGATTATTTTTTCTGGTAAAACATTTTGAATGTGGATTAATATTTCTATAGGAAAAGGCTCTTAGCAAATTATCTTCTTTGTAGTTGAAGGACAGTACTAAATTAAGATCTTTTTTTTTTTCTAGGTCATATATTTTCTTGACTAACAACATTTTTAAAAAAATACAATGTGAAACAGTATTTTAAGAAAATTTGTAAAAATCATGCAATACCTATATTCTTTTGAAAATTAAACTATTCCAGTAAAGTTGTAATGATTAAGGAAACTTTAAGCACATGTAAACAACAAATTTCTGGTATATTTAAGGCCCTTTAATAATCTACTGAGTTAAAAAATAATCTGAGTTTTTACATTCATTTTTTTTTTTGTATCTGTAAATGTATTTATGGGGGGTATATTAAGTGAAACTAATAGAAGAAATCTCAGAAGGTACCATTTAGGTACCTTAAAGGCTCAAAATCTGATTGTTGATACAAATAATTGTTTTAAATAACTTTTTAAAATTTTTTATAGAACATACCAATTAGCATTACATGAACAATGAGCATACATCTTAAAACTTTTTATTAGTAAGATGTGATAGGTATTTTACTTGGTTTGAAAGATAAAACAGTCTGTAGGCACCCCCATTTACTTCTTTTCTAAGAATTTCTGCTAACTGAAATGAAAATCAGGGGTGCCTGGGTGGGTCAGTCAGTTAAGTGTTCAGCTTGATTTCAGCTCAGGTTATAATCTCAGGGTCAAGAGATCAAGCTACGCATTGGCTTTTTTTTTTTTTTTTTTTTTTTTTAAGATTTTATTTATTTGAGAGAGAGCACAAGTGAGGTTGAGGGGCAGATGGAGAAGTAGACTCCCTCCTGAGCAGGGAGCTCAATGTGAGGTCGGATCCCAGGAGCCCAGGATCATGATCTGAGCCAAAGGCAGGTAGATACTTAACCGAGTGAGCCAGCCAGACAACTCCTCCACATCTGCTTCTACGCTTGGCGTGGAGCCTGCTTAAGATTCTCTCTCCCTTTCCTTGCCCCTGCACGTTCTCTCTCTCTGTTTTCTCTGTTAAAAAAAAAAATCTATGTAAACATAATTTAACATGAGGCTAATTAGTCGGGTGGGAGACATCTTAAATTAATTGGATTTTAATTTAATATATTCTGGGCATAAAATACAGCAGAAACCATCATCTAGATCTAGGGGTATGGATATTTAGGTCATTTTCCATATTTTACCATTATAGTATGGTAATATATTATTTCTACATATCAAGTACCTATAGAATAAATTTCTAGAAATAGAATAACCAAGTCCAAGAAAAGTTTTGCCAAGTTATTCTCTATGAGACATCAATTTATACTTCTACCAGTAATTCGTGAAATTATTTCCTATATGGTGACATGGTGTGTTTGTCAAAGATTCCTTTGCAACTTTGGTAAATGAAATGTGGAATATAAATGTAATTTTAATTTGCATTTGTCTTATGAGTGAGTTTAAACATATTTCTTATATTTAATATCTATTTTTCAGTGAACTATTCTTGTACAATTAGTTTTTGGCTGTTGGCTAATCTTGGATATTTACATTTTTCTAACTTGTCTAACTTTACATGTTATGAAAATCGGCCCCTTCTCATAGATAATATATTTGATTTTTTTCCCCCAGTTTTTCTTTTAGTTGGTGTGGGCCTTGGCAGAATTTTTTTTTTTTTAAGTTTCTTATTCTTTTTTTTTTTTTTTTTTTTTTTATTAAATTATTTATGATAGTCACAGAGAGAGAGAGAGGCAGAGACACAGGGAGAGGGAGAAGCAGGCTCCATGCACCGGGAGCCCGATGTGGGATTCGATCCCGGGTCTCCAGGATCGCGCCCTGGGCCAAAGGCAGGCGCTAAACTGCTGCGCCACCCAGGGATCCCCGATGGCAGAATATTTTTATAGTTGTTTCATTTATCAATGCTTTAAAAATTTCTAATGTGTTAATTCAAAAGCTCTTCCTTATTTTGAGGTGATTAGAGTTCTCATGGTTTCTTCTGGTATTTTTATGGCTTCATTTTAAACACTTAGATCTTTGAACCAACTTAAATTTGTGCTGGTCTAAGGAATTGAGGTATAGATTTAACTTTCTTTTTTCAGATAGCTGTTTAGTTGACCCAGCATTATTGATTGGTCCATCTTTTTCCTCTCACTGCTTTGAAATGCCACTTTTATCTTCCTATAAGGAAATTTTAATAGATTAATGTTGTGAATTTAAAGATGAATTTTATTTAAAACAATTTTTTGGGACACATGGGTAGCTCAGCGGTTGAGCATCTGCCTCTGGCTCAATTAGGTGGTCCCGGAGCCCCAGGATCAAGTCCCACATTGGGCTCCCCTTGAGGAGCCTGCTTCTCTCCCTGCCTATGTGTTTCTGCCTCTCTCTCTGTGTCTCTCGGGAATAAATAAATAAATCTTAAAAAAAAAAAAACTGTAATAAAAAAAGCCACTTGACTCAGGGCTCCATCCTAGGAGCCTGAGATCATACCTGAGCTAAAGGCAGATGCTTAACCCAATGACTCACTGAGGTGCCCCATAAAGTTTAATTTTAAATTAAAAGAGCTAACTAGCTATTTATTTGTCATCACAGATAAGAGCTTTTTCAAATGAGCCTGTTGCTTTTCACTTTCAAGAAATTCTTAGAATTTGCTATGTGCTAAGTAAATTGGTATTTTAATTAAACATTTGTATTTTAAATTAGCTATATTTCTGTACAGTAAGATACGAAAGTCCAAATTGCTTGACTTGGGTATAAATCTTAAAAAGTTTCCTTTTAGATGAATTACTATTTAATTGCAGACATACTAATAAATACTTGGTGAATGGCTTTAATACAATTATTGAAGTGGATTTTTACAATGTAGAAATTGCTAAAATTGTCACTGGTTTATTCTTTGAAAAGAAAGCAAGTTTTCCTGATTGTAGCATTTTCATTGTGGAAAATTTGAGAAGCACAGAAAAACATTATTCAAAATATATTCAAAAAGAATTGTTAAAATTTTATATATGCTCTTCCACTTTTTTCTCTGCTCTATTTTACAAAATTGGAATTTTATGGCATATACTGTGTAACATGCTTTTTATTTACAAATGAATCGAACATTTTCTTGTGTCATTAAATGTTCTATTAAAACCTTTTTTTGATGGCTAAAGATAAAAATTTCTACATTTCCTAGATATTTAATGTATTTACAATTTTACACTGTTAAAAATAACACTGTGAGGGAACATCTTTGACTATTAAGCCTTCTAAATATCTGATTACTTTTTTAAAGGCATTTCTGGAAGGAAAATGACTAAGGGAGCATTTTTAAGGCTTTTGACACAAGTTACCATGTTACCTTTTTGAAACACTGGACTGATTTGCACTCAGTGGAATATGAGTGGCAGTTTCCTTGTAGCTTTACCTTTCCTGGGAATTATTTATGTTTACTCTTTGCCAGTATGATAGGTGATGACTAGTATTTTTGATTCATAATTGAATCTGCTCTTGTTACTCTTTTACTACACTATTAGCATTTTAAAAAATAAGTGTAGGAGCATGTGGGTGGCCCTGCTGGTTAAGTGTCTGACTTTTTTTTTTTTTTTTTAAGATTTTATCTATTTATTCATTAGAGACACAGGCAGAGCGAGAAACAGGTTCCATGCAAGGACCCAGTGTGAGACTCAAATCCAGGAATCCGGGATCACTCCCTGAGTCAAAGGCAGATGCTCAACCGCTGAGCCACCCAGGCGTTCCTAAGTGTCTCACTCCTGATGTCAGCTCAGGTCTTGATCTCAAGGCCGTGAGTTCAAGCTTTGCATTGGGCTCCTCTACTTTAAAAAAACAGAAAATTAAGTATAATTTTAGAGTAAAGATATTCATGAGTGACACAGACTGAGAGAGAGAGAGAGAGGCAGAGACATAGGCAGAGGGAGAAGCAGGCTCCATGCAGGGAGTCTGATGTGGGACTCGATCCCGGATCCTGAGATCTCGAGCTGAAGGCAGGCTCTGAACCACCCAAGTGTTCCGTAAAGATATTTCTGAACCACCCAAGTGTTCCGTAGAGTAAAGATATTTCTGAACCACCCAAGTGTTCCGTAGAGTAAAGATATTTCTGAATAAAGTTGGTTTTTCTGGCAATAATTGTCTTTTAATTAAACTTTGCAGGCTATGGATCATCTGCAATCATTCATTGCAGATTGTGATCGAAGAACAGAAGTGGCTAAGAAAAGACTAGCAGAAACTCAAGAAGAGATTAGTGCTGAAGTGGCAGCAAAGGTAAGAATTTCAGTCATTTCATTAGTACTACAAAATATAATTTCAGCTCACTAATTTTAACTTTTTATTTTAAAATAATTATATTCACAGATTGCAAAGACATATAGGGAATTCTCTGAACTCTTCCTTAGGCTCCCCTTATGTTCATATTTTATACAATGGTAGTACACTTTTGATCACGACATTTTATTTAGCTTTTACCAGTTATTTGTGTACTTGTGTGTGCATGTGTAGCTCTCTGCAGTTTTATCACATGTAAGTAACTTGAGTAACTACCACCATAATTAAGTTATTTCACTCTAGCATCACTATGAGACTCCCTCTTACAACTCTATAGCCATATCAACTCGTCCTTTCCTTATCTTCTGGCAACCACTAATGTATTCTCCAGTTCTATAATTATGCTATTTTACTGACTATTACATAAATGGAATCATGTATCCTTTTGAGATTGATTTCACTCAGCACATGTTCTCTCTTTAGTAAAATGTCTGTATGTCTTATACCCATTTTCCAAATGGATTGCTTATTTTTAATGTTGAGTTGTGAGTGATCTTTAGATGTTCTGTTATACCCACCACTTTTTAAAAAAATATTTTGGGGATCCCTGGGTGGTGCAGCAGTTTGGCGCCTGCCTTTGGCCCAGGGCGCGATCCTGGAGACCCGGGATCGAATCCCACATCGGGCTCCCGGTGCATGGAGCCTGCTTCTCCCTCTGCCTGTGTCTCTGCCTGTCTCTCTCTCTCTCTGTATGTCTATCATAAATAAATAAAAATTAAAAAATTGTTTAAAAAAAATAAAAAATAAAAAAATATTTTGTTGTGGGAGAATTTGGGTGGCCCAAGATGGTTAAGCATCCAACTCTTGATCTGTTAGCTCAGGTCGTGATTTCAGGGTCATAAGTTCAAACCCTGAGTTGGGCTCTAAGCTGGGTGTGAAGCCTACTTAAAAAAATTTTGGTTTTGTTGTAAACTTAGTATGCAAAAAGTAGAAAGAGTTGTGCCTGGCTGGCTCAGTCAGTAGAGCGTGCACCTCTTGATCTCTGGATTGTGAGCCTGAGACCCACGTTGGGTATGGAGATGACTTAAATAAATAAACTTTTTTTTTTTTTTTAATATTTTCTTTTTTTTTTTTTTTAATTTTTATTTATTTATGATAGTCACAGAGAGAGAGAGAGAGGCAGAGACACAGGCAGAGGGAGAAGCAGGCTCCATGCACCGGGAGCCCGATGTGGGATTCGATCCCGGGTCTCCAGGATCGGGCCCTGGGCCAAAGGCAGGCGCCAAACCGCTGCGCCACCGAGGGATCCCCAAATAAATAAACTTTAAAAATACAAATTAAGAAATCTAGAAAGAAAGGAACAATAAATCCCAAAGGGTTCGTCATCAGTTTTTTTTTCTCGTTTGATTATTTTAAAAGCAAATTCTAGATGTCACATCTTTTCACCTCTAAAACAGAACCATAAAATCACATCCATAAAGTTAACAATTTAATGTTATCATTAAAGTTTGTTCAGACATAGGCTGAGGGAGAAGCAGGCTCCCTGCATGAAGCCTGGTGTGGCACTCGATCCTGGAACTCTGGGATCATGCTCTGAGCCAACGGCAGACGCTCAATTGCTGAGCCACCCAGGCATCCCTCTAATCAGAATCTTAAAAAAAAAAAAAAAAAAAAAAAAAAAAAAAAAAACCATACTTTGTGTTTTGTTGATTTGATGACTTAATACTTTGAAATATTTTGTGCTGTTCAGTATAGGTTGTACATTTTATGCAAACGCAGAATGGAGACAAAGAGTTTACCCAGATAGAGTTTGGATGACAACATTAAATATAGTTCTCAGAGATGTATGTACAAAGGGAAGTGGATTCCTTTGTGGAAAGGATGTGTTTTTGTTTTAAACAATCTCTGCACACTATATGGGACTTTGAATTCATAGCCTCAAGATCAAGAGTTGCATGCTCTTCCGACTTAGCCAGGTGCTCTAAGGAAGCAGTTATTTTTAATCAACGTTTTCTGAAAAGTTCTCTAAAGATGGGATCCTAAAGTGTGGGGATCTAATGTCATGGTTGGAAAAGATCCACAAGTGCTATCTTGGTTTATGTGGCATTGTAATTGGTTATCTGTCACTACAAAAGTGCTGTTTAACAAATTACCTCAAAACTCAGTGACTTAGGGAACCCCTGGGTGGCTCAGAGGTTTAGTGTCTGCCTTTGGCCCAGGGTGTGATCCTGGAGTCCCGGGATCGAGTCTTGCATCAGGCTCCCTGCATGGGGCCTGCTTCTCCCTCTGCCTGTCTCTCTGCCTCTCTCTCTCTCTGTCTTTTGTGAATGAATAAATAAAATCTTAAAAAAAAAAAAATTCAGTGACTTAAAACAATTAAGTGTTTATTAGCCCATGAACTTGATGGAGAAGTTACTGCTATCTCAGTTGGGCTAACTCACATGTCCTCTGATCAAAGGCCATTAAACCTAGAAGGCTAGCCTGGCCATGTTCTTATGGTAGTGGAAGAGATTAAAAAAAAAAAAGTCACACAAGTGCTTTTTAAGACTTTCCTTCTGTCATGTTTGCTACTGTTCTATTAAACTAAAGTCAGTTACATGGCCGAGGTCAGAACAGAATATGATAGTACTAATTATATAGCAAAGAAATGGATATAGGGAATGGTGAAGAGTTTAGGGCATAATCCAATCATTCTGTAACAGATATTGAGAGAAAAATACTGCCTTGCTAAAGAAATAAGAAAATGAAAATAGAATTGAAAATTTCTTTGAGGGATGAATATTTTGGATTGAAGGGTATTTGAGAATTAAAGATTATTAGCACACTAGTTTGTTGTGATTGAATGTCCATAGAAATTGAAATCTTTGCTAATATGATTGGCTACACAGCCTGAATACTTACTTTGTGGCCAATAAAAAGACTGTATAGGTATCATATGCCATTAAAACAATAGGAATGAACTATATTCTCAGGATGATGGTGAGGAGGAGGAGGACAAAGATCATAAGGCAAAAAGTAATACCAAGGGAAAGACATGAACTAAGGCTAAGGGAGGACAGAGTGCTATGGTAGTGTACTGAAAGTCAGTAATGTGCTGTGCAGTGTGTGTAAGGCACATTTTCTCATTTCTCACAACTTTGTGAGATAGGTATTATTCTTTTTTTCTCAGATGAGGAAGTGGATTCAGGTTAAGCAATTGTGGTCAAAATTACATAGCTGGTAATTGGTTTGGCAATAAGCCAGGCTTGTTGGACTCTAAAGTAATATATTTGTCTTAAAGAAGATCTGCCAGTTTGTTCCTATAACTCCTGTTTGAGCCTATGCTATTTGTTGGACGTTGGAAATAAAAGATGAGAAATACATACATATTTTTTTCTTTTTTCTTTTTTTCTTTTTTTTAAGATTTGATTTATTTGTTCATGAGAGACCCAAGAAGTAGAGACACACGCAGAGGGAGAAGCAGGCTTCCCTCAGGGAGCCTGATGTGGGACTTGATTCCTGGACTCTGGTATAATACCCTGAGCCACCTAGGTGTCCCTAAAGATGGGAAATAAAAATAGCTATCTACAAAGTGTTAAGATATATATATAAAAGTATATACATAAGTGTGGGTGTGTATGTGTGTAGAAAAGTATATATTTAGGGCAGCCCCGGTGGCGCAGCGGTTTAGCGCCACCTGCAGTCCAGGGCGTGATTCTGGAGACCCAGGATTGAGTCCCGCATCGGGCTCCCTGCATGGGGCCTGCTTCTCCCTCTGCCTGTGTCTCTGCCTGCCTTTCTCTCTCTCTCTCTGAATGAATAAATAAATAAATCTTTTTTTTTTAAAAAGTATATATTTAAAAGTATGGTATGTACATAAGAATGTTATGAAAGATAAAAAGATGACACAAAGGAGGTTTTGGCACTCTTATGTTTAAGTGGAGTTTTTGTTTTTTTTTTTTTTTTTTTTATGATAGCCAGAGAGAGAGAGAGAGAGAGAGAGAGAGAGAGAGAGGCAGAGACATAGGCAGAGGGAGAAAAGCAGGCTCCATGCACCGGGAGCCCGACGTGGGATTCGATCCCGGGTCTCCAGGATTGCGCCCTGGGCCAAAGGCAGGCGCCAAACTGCTGCGCCACCCAGGGATCCCTTAAGTGGAGTTTAGATGTGATTGATTAAGAATGTTTCACAGAATAGTTGGATTTTGTTGAATGAATAGATATACATGAGTTCAGGCAAAGGGAGGTAAGGGATGATAGCCCAGGAAGAGGGATGGCGTCACTCTGCAAAGTCACAGAGGCAAAAAACAGTAAATTTGAGAAACTAGGTATAGTTATAGATTATGTTATGAATGAGAGAACAGCAAAAGATGGATTGGAAAGGTACACGGGTAGATTATGGAAGAAGTGGTATTTTATACTTGAAATACACTGCCAAAGTAGAGGTTGTAAAGTAACAGTTAAATTGAGTTCAGTTATGTTCCTGACTTCATTGTAGTGAGAACAGGTAGGCGTAAAACATCCTCATATTCCATCAGTTCATTTATGATATACTCAGAAAGCATTAGTTATACTCCTATTGCCTTAGATAACTTGTCTTTTCTAAGCATTTATGAAATATTTTGAACTTGGATAATTCTGCTTTTTATTCGTGATCTTCTTTTCTGTTTCTTTCTAGGCAGAACGTGTTCACGAATTAAATGAAGAAATTGGTAAGTTGTTGGCCAAGGTGGAACAACTGGGAGCTGAAGGAAATGTCGAAGAATCCCAGAAAGTAATGGATGAAGTAGAGAAAGCACGGGCAAAAAAAAGAGAAGCAGAGGTGAGAAGATTCTTAATGGTAATATGTATAGCCTTACTGTCAAAACATATTAGATTGAAAATTATTGAAAAGTTATTGCTAGTAAAGACAATTTAAACCAATTTAAAAAACTTAGAAAAAAAAATTTAGTCTGTACCATAGTACTGGATCATGCATCAAAGTTGTGGGTGGTCTTTTTTTTTTTTTTTTTTTTACTTTAGAGGCTTTGATCTGTTGAAGTGTATAACTAGTGAATGAAATTAAGCCAGCTTGTCATTAACAGTCTCACACACACACACACACACACACACACACACACACACACACACACACAGCATAAATGTGGTTCCTATGGTACCCTTCTCTCCCTTGATTTTACCCCTGTGCAACCGTAGCATTCTCCCTTCTCTTCCCATCTCAGTACAGTCTGCTGGTACTTGAGGAGCCTCCTATCATTCTTTCTCCATAGCACAGGTCAAAATCTCATACCCTGCAGACAAAGTTCTATTTTGTTTGGACCATCTGATATTTGTTAGAAAATCAGATACCTTCACATGGGATTGTATTCTCCCGTTTTGCCATAGTCTCCATTGCTCTTAACTGTATCACACCTCAGTTTAATTCTTATTCTGCCCTCTTAAAGACGAAGCTTAGATAATTGATTTTAGCCCATTGAATGCTACAGATTTTCTTCTAGACATAATTGTAGCTGCACCCCACGTATTTTCATACGTTATTCTTTTTTTTAATATGTTATTTTCATTTCAATTTGTATATTTGCTAATTACTTGTGGTTTCTTTGACCTACGAATTATTTAGGAGTGTATTTTTGTATATTTGGTGCTTTTTCCAAGTATTTTTTTGATTGGATTTTAATTTAGTTCAGTTGCAGTGAGAGAACATTTGTGTGATTTCAGGTCTCTTAGCTACATCAGTACCTGTTTTGTGCCTGCACATGGTCTCGGTGAATGTCTGCTCTACATTTGAAAAGAATGATGCTCTGTGTTATTAAGTGGAGTGTTCATAAATGTTAATTGAGTCAAGATAGTTGATGGGTTATTCACGTCTTCCATATCCTATTGATTTTCTGTTCTGTTTACTGAGGAGTATTAAAGTCTCCATCTCGAACTGTGGATTTATTTACTTACCCTTTCCATTTTGTCAGGTTTTGCTTCGTGTATTTTGAAGTCCTGTTACTAGGTTAATCCATGTTTAGGTTTGTTGTGTCTTTTTTTTTTTTAATAATTAAGCCCTTTATTATTTTAAACTGTCCTAGTAATGTCTTTTGCTTTGAAATTTCCTTTGAGGGTGCAGCCCTGGTGGTTCAGTGGTTTAGTGTCACCTTTGGCCCAGGGCCTGATCCTGGAGACCCAGGATCAAGTCCCACGTTGGGCTGCCTGCATGGAGCCTGCTTCTCCCTCTGCCTGTGTCTCTGCCTCTCTCTCTCTCTCTGTGTCTGTCATGAATAAATAAAATCTTAAAAAAAAAATGAAATCTCCTTTGATATTAATAAAAAGTCTGTCTAGCTTCTTTTTATAAGTTAAAGTTGAATACTATGAACTCTAGATAAACCAGTGGGGGGAGGAAAGTATAACTAATCATAGAAATAAAATGAATCCTAAAAAACACTTAATCCAAAAGAAGGAAGGAGGAAAGGAACAAACCCCAGATTGGACATATAGAAGATAACACAATGGTAGACTTAAACCCAGTGTGCTAGTAATTATGTCAAATGCAAATGGTCTAAATATTCTAATTAAAAGGCAGATTGTGAGACTGTTTTTTTTTTTTTTAAGATTTTATTTATTCATGAGAGACACAGAAAGAAGGCAGAGACATAAGCAGAGGGAGAAGCAGGCTCCTCGCAGGGAGCCTGATGTGGGACTCGATCCCTGAACTCCAGGATCACACCCTAAGCCAAAGGCAGACGCTCAACCACTGAGCCACCCAGGCGCCCCTGTTTTTTTGTTTTTTTAAAGAAAGACTTAGGGTACCTGGGTGGCTTAGCTGGTTAAGCATCTGCCTTCAGCTCAAGTCGTGATCCCAGGGTCCTGGGATTGAGCTCCATGTCCGGCTTCCTGCTCAGTGGAGAGCCTGTATCTCCCTCCTCCTCTGCCCTTCCTTCTTGTTTGTGCTTGTGTGCACATGCTCTCTCTTAAATCTTCAAGAAAAGCAAGACTTAACTATATGCTAGCTACAAGATATCTACCTTAAATATAGAGACATTAATGGGATGGAAAAAGACATACCGTGTAGCCATTCTTGTTAATTTTGATGTCTAAATACTTAGGATTTGTTTAAATCTAATTAATACCATTCTAGAAAATAAACACTGTGAATTTTAAAATGCTTAGTATTTTATAGCTTATTTCCCCAAAAGATTCAAGTAATGAACCTAAGTAACTATTATTGGTTATATATTTTGCAGTTTTCTTTTTTTTTAATCTTTTTTTTTTTTTAAGATTTTATTTATTTATTCATGACAGAGAGAGAGAGAGAGAGAGAGAGGCAGAGACACAGGCAGAGGGAGAAGCAGGCTCCCTGCTGGCAGGGAGCCAGATGTGGGACTTGATCCTGGGTCTCCAGGATCAGGCCCTGGGCCGAAGGCAGTGCTAAACCGCTGAGCCACCGGGGCTGCCCCTTATTTTGCAGTTTTCATAAAATTTCATATATATATGTTTTTGAAGATTTTCTCGTATCACACAGTGGCATCTTCAGCCTGTTATGTTTTATCATAGTTGATTTTTACTAGGGACAATGCATTAAAAAATTTACTTGCTCATTATAGATTGTGTTCAACTGTACATAATAGAAAACTTATGATGACTTAACCAAGAAAGGGTTTTTTCTCATTTATTTTTTTTTTTTTAAGATTTTATTTATTCATGAGACACACACACACACACACACACACACACACACAGAGGCACAGACACAGGCAGAGGGAGAGGCAAGCTCCATGCAGGGGGCCCGATGTGGGACTCGATCCCGGGTCTCCAGGATCACACCCTGGGCTGAAGGCGGCGCCAAACCACTGAGCCACCTGGGCTGCCCGGTTTTTTCTCATTTAATAAATAATTGTAGTTAGGGAGTCTGGAGCTGGTACAGCAGCTCCATGATTCCATCAAGTACACAGGCTATTTCTGGCTTTATATTCAGCCATCCATACTAAATGGATTCATCTTTATGCTTATCAATTTGTGGTGGCAGTATGGCTATCTGCTAAAGCCTTTTCTCTGTACATAACTAGAAAGAGGAAGAAGAATAACAAGGGACAAAAATTGAGTTAACTTACCTCCTAGTGTCATACATTTGTTTTTCTTTCTTTTTTTTTTTTTTAACTTCATTTGAGAGAGAGCATGAGCTGGGTGGGGAGGGACACGGAGTGGGAGAAGCAGAAGCAGACTCCCGCTGAGCAGGGAGTCAATGAGGCAAATTTCAGGACACCAGGATCATGACCTGAGCCAAAGGCAGACACTTAACCAACTGAGCTACCGAGACACCCTGTTTTTTAAAAAACCAAACAAAACAAACTTTTATTTGGAAATATTTTCAGAAAGGTAAAAGAAATAGTATAAAGAATTCCCCTATATCCTTCACCCAGGCTCCAAATGTTAATATTTTATCATACTTGTTTTGTCTTTCTCTTCTTGGGTGTGTGTGTTTGAGCTGTTTGACATTAGGTTATAGATATGATGCCTCTTTTTTTTCTTTAAAGATTTTATTATTCATGAAGACACATTTTATTATTCAGAGAGAGAGAGGCAGGAGACATAGGCAGAGGGAGAAGCAGGCTCCATGCACGAAGCCCAGTGTGGGACTCAATCCTGGGACTCTAGGATCATGCCCTGAGCCAAAAGCAGATGCTCAACCCCTGAGCCACCCAGGCATCCCTCCCCACCTTTTTTTTTTTTAATATGATGCCTCTTTAACCCCAAATACTCCAATGCGTATTTTCTCAAAACAAGGATATTCATTAGATAACCACAGTATAATGATCTGGATCAGAAATTAACACTGATAGAGTTAATGAAATCTGATACAATTAATGAAATCTTAACTCAGATTTTTCCAATTGACTCAATAATATTCTTCTTTAGCGTGGCTAAAGAGGTTGTGTGCTTGCCTTCGGCCCAGGGCGTGATCCCGGAGACCCGGGATCAAGTTCCACATCGGGCTCCCTGCATGGAGCCTGCTTCTTTCTCTGCCTATGTCTCTGCCTCCCTCTCTGTGTCTCTCATGAGTAAATAAATAAAATCTTTAAAAAAATAAAAATCTTCTTTACTAAAACATTTTTTTTTCTTCGTTTAAGGCCCAGTTCAGGATCATGTACTGCATTTAGTTACTGTCCCTCTTGTTTTCTTTAGTCTGGAACTTCAGTCTTTGTTTGACATATTCTTGACAGTTTTGAAAAAACACAGGCTCATTACTTTGTAAAATGTCCTTCAGTTTGGGTTTTTCTGATTTTTCTTTCTGGTTATATTTTTGACAGTACCATTGCAGTAATGTTACATCCCATCAGAAGGCACATGTTAGTGATTTGTCCCATTTCTGGTGATTGGTCTATTTTTCCACTGGAAAATTGAAGTTACAGTGCTTTCTTTTTGTAATTAATAAGTGTGTTGGCATTGAGACATTTTTAAAACTGTAAACATTGCTTTCCATCAGTTTCTGATCCACAAGTGATAGCAGCCATTGGTGATATTTTTTGTCTCAGTCTATTGACTCCCTTTGAAAGAACTTTTCTATAGATTCCATCCAGCAATGTCCACTTGAAGAGCCTTAGCCAAAGCTCTGTGGGGGCTTTGAAATGTAATGTATTTTAGCTGAACATGCTGTTGGCCTCATAAAAGGGAAAAAAGGATACAGCGGATACACAAACCCACTAATTATTATTTCATTAATGAAATTTTTTTTAAGATTTTATTTATGAGACACACACAGAGAGAGGCAGAGACACAGGCAGAGGGAGAAGCAGGCTCCCTGCAGGGAGCCTGATGCGGAACTCAATCCCAGAACCCTGGGATCACGGCCTGAGCCAAAGGCAGATGCTCAGCCACTGAGCCACCCAGGCATCCCTCATTAATGAACTTATTATAAATCAAATGGTTGAGTGTTAGACATTTACTCTCATTAAGGCACTTTTCATTGCTTGTCATATAGAACTATTTCTCTTAGTGGAAATAGAGATTTTTTAAAAATTTATTCATGAGAAACACAGAGGCAGAGACATAGGCAGAAGGAGAAGCAGGCTTCCTCTGGGGAGCCTGATGTGGGACTTGATCCCTGGACCCCAGGATAATGACACTAAACACTGAGCCACCCAGGTGCCCCACTACATTTCATTTTTAACAAAAGTTGTAGAAAACGAAACAGTAGAACACAGAAAATGGTTTCCGACAGTCATATTCTTTACCATGGTAGAATTCTTAGAGTAGTTCTTGGCAAAATACAGTTGAGTCTCCATCTTTTACCTTCAGTGGAGAAGTCCCAAGGACAGGATAGTGGAAGCCATCTTTTTTTTTTTTTTTTTTTTTTGGACGCCATCTTTTTTATGACAAAAATAGCCATTCTTTTATGTATTCATTAGAAAACTTTTTTTGTGTGTAAACAGTCTATTTTGTGTAATGGTATGACTCAGATTTATATGAACATTGTTTTTTTCACTTTTTAGGAAGTTTATCGGAATTCTATGCCAGCTTCCAGTTTCCAACAACAGAAACTTCGAGTCTGTGAAGTCTGCTCTGCCTATTTAGGTCTTCATGATAATGACAGACGACTGGCTGATCATTTTGGGGGTAAACTGCACCTGGGATTTATTGAAATAAGAGAGAAGCTTGAAGAATTAAAGGTACATTGGTAAATTAATACTATGTGCTTAATCTTATTTAACCACTCATTGTTTTGATGTGTATTAGTTATCTTTTTGTATCATATTCTTGACTATGCTCTTGCTAAAAATTCATACCAAATAGTGTAGAATTATAAATGGAAATAACTGGTTTAATGTATAATGTCTGAGAAACAAGACTTATAAATACTGTCCCCTTATTTTGGGAGGTAGTATTTTGTTTTGATGATGACATTGAATTACTGGCCTTGCAAACTGGGTTCTAAACTAACTCTTTCATACAAGTTTAAAGGAAGACAGAAAATGAGACTAGTATTTATTTGAAATATTTTGCAGTTCTTCACTAAATAGCAAGCTTGTTGGATCTCTAGTTTTATTTTTTGCTCCTGCTCCCATTTCAGAAAGGAATTCGGATGAAATCTGTCTTTTAAAAAAGGACAATTACTGTCACATACATGGCTATTGTGAGAAAGGCAATACAGTTATTACTCATGTGGTGAATTATTTTGAGAAGCTAAGGAAACAACAAACATAGGGTATTTCTAAAGATGTAAATAAAATCAGAGTAAATGTATATAATCAGTTTACTTTCCATCAGTCTCATGAGGCTAATTTTTTTTTTTAAGATTTTATTTATTTATGCATGAGAGACAGAGAGAGAGAGGCAGAGACACAGAGGGAGAAGCAGGCTCCTTGCCGGGAGCCCGACATGTGACTCAATCCCGGGTCTCCAGGATCCCACCCTGGGCTGAAAGCGGCACTAAACCGCTGAGCCACCAGGGCTGCCCCTCATGAGGCTAATCTTTAAAAAATTATGGCAGTGTAGCATTTTGTCATGAATAGAAGATAGGTTCAGAGGTAGCAAACACTGGATAGTGACTTTTTTTGCTCAAATTAACCCAAGATCTGTAGTTTGACATTTAAAATAATGTGGAGTCAGAAACACTTAGGGATATCTCCATATTCATAATTAACAGTGAGCTCTTCTAAGTATTCTGAGTAGCTAGGATGATTTTGGGTAAATTTTTATTTAAAATGACAAAGTAAGTTTCACTATATAATGGTTAGTGAGCTCGAAATTAAAACTCAAAAATGCTACATATTTGGGAGTCTTTGCAGATAACAGACAGCAACAGGACTGTTTGGCACTTTACTGTGTGTTTTTTTGAAGCAATAGAATTGGGATGGTGATTGGAAGTGTGACAGAAGACATTTTATTTTGGAAATTAGAGAATGGGAACTTGTAGTGATTTATAATACGTAATGTCCTTTAAAAAATACAAAAATAAAAAATATATAAAAATAGGCACATCTTGGCTCAGTTGGTAGAGCGTGTGCCTTTTGATCTCAGGGCCATGAGTTGGAACTCCACATTGGGTGTAGGAATTACTAAAAAAAAAATGAACTTTAAAAAAAAATACAAAATAATGTTAGAAAACATTCAAAGGAGAAGAATCTTGTAGAAATGATTTTGAAATATTAAGTCATGAAGAAATAAAAAATTTTACAAATGTTCCCCAGAAGGGCGAAAGATTTTGGAAACTAGACTTGTAAGCGTAGTGATTTTACCCAGCAGAACTTTTAATTGTTACTAAACAGATTTTGATGTTACTTGTACTGTATTGGGAACCAGATATGGTAGAGTTTAGGATAATTCTTGTTAAGAGTGGACCCAGTAAATAATGCTCCTCATTTTTTATTATTTGAACTGTCATTGTCTTTTAAGAGAGTTGTAGCTGAGAAACAGGAGAAAAGAAATCAGGAACGCCTGAAACGAAGAGAAGAAAGGGAGAGAGAAGAAAGGGAGAAGCTGAGGAGGTATGGAGTAATTAATTGAATAGTCCAAGTATGTGAAGTTGAATCTCCCGGGCTCTAAAAAGAGATGTGATTGGTACAAGATTTTAGGTGTTAATAAATCTAGACATGAGAGATTTGTTTACTTTTGAAAATGTTACCATGTGAAAATGCTTATACAAATATGTTAAGTTACAGCCAATTTAAGTCAAGGTGATTCTTTTTTTAAATTTTTATTTATTCATGAGAGACACAGCGAGAGAGAGGCAGAGACACAGGCAGAGGAAGAAGCAGGCTCCATGCAGGGAGCCTGATGTGTAGGACTCGATCTTGGATCCCAGAATTACGCCCTGAGCTAAATAAAGGCAGACAGATGCTCAACCGCTGAGCCACCCAGGAGTCCCAGTCAAAGTGATTTCTTTCAAAAAGTATGGAAGAGGGCAGCCCGGGTGGCTCAGCAGTTTCAGCTATAATTTTGATTCTATAATTTTTACCCCTAGAGCTATAAACTATTAAGATTGTATTAATAATAGCTAAGTATATGCAGTTCTTTTTATATTGGTATTCATTAGTTGATAAAATCATATTCTTCATATTTAGAATGTTTAAATGTTCTGAGTGACCCATTGGCAACAAATTGTGTCTCATCATGATAGCAGCCTTTTTTGAACTTATGTACATAACTTTTTTAAACAATGTTATGATAGGTATGTCACTAAAGAGTTACTTGTAGTTCTAATTTATAGTGTTCCTTTAATTGTCTTACACATCTCTGAAATTTAAATCCTTTATCTACAGCAGATTTTGTGCCTAATTAAAACCCTTTATAATATGTGACTTGGTCATGCCAGCCTCCCCTAAGCTTTGAGCATGTTATACTTGGTCTATTTCAAGGTGTTTAAACTGACTTTGTGTTACACGGCTTATAGCAGGTAATATTTTTGCACTGTAATGAAACAAATGAAAAGTACATGTGGATATTTTGCCTTTTTAGGAGAAGTGCTGTCATAAATCCATTGATAAATGTTCATTTACTATAAATTTTGTCTCATAGTTTTATCACTATTCTCTTTTATGTACACTGAGTTTCTATGGGAATATTGCCTGGCATTGTAATATAAGACCATATAGAAATCTGTTAAAATTCTGAGTGTAGTGCCACTGATTTATATAATTCAACTGGGAAGTGATAGTCAAATGAGAAAAAAATTCTTTGCCATGACTACATTTTCTTATCTGTAGATAACTTCCTACTCCTTTGTTGCCAACTGACAAATTTAAGATTGATTTTAAAATGTAATGAGATTTAGAAATGTGTTTAAAATTTAAAAATAAACCAGTAAATAAAAAACAATTTTTTAATCCCTCTGTGAACTTGAGGAAATGTAACCAAGAATGAAAGATGAAGAAATGACAAGCAAGTACATAGTTACACAAGGTGGGATTCTAACTATGGTATTGAAAAGGATAATGATAAAAATGTCACTAAGTGCCTGTTATGTATCAGGTACAGTGCTAAGAATTTGCCTATATTAGCTCATCTAATCCTTACGATCTCCCTGTGAAATTTATTTTTTTTATTTTTTATTTTTTATTTTTTAATTTAATTTATTATTTTTATTTATTTATTTTTATTTGTTTGTTTGTTTGTTTCTTTATTAATGATAGTCACACACAGAGAGAGAGGCAGAGACACAGGCAGAGGGAGAAGCAGGCTCCATGCACCGGGAGCCCGACGTGGGATTCGATCCCGGGTCTCCAGGATCGCGCCCTGGGCCAAAGGCAGGCGCCAAACCGCTGCGCCACCCAGGGATCCCCTGCCTGTGAAATTTATATTACTGTCCTTCTTTTGCAAATGACAAAGCTGAGAGATCTGTAATCTGTCCAGGTCACAGTGGTGCAGCCAGAGTTTTAAAACTCAAATTAGGCTGAGTCCCAAGCCACCCTCAGTTGTGCTGTATATTCCCCATGAGACAACTGTAGTTTCCTAGTGCCCATAGTACTAGTCATTACTATTTATTGAGTTTTAAGTATGTGCTAAGAAATGTGAAGAGTGCTTTAATAAGGGTTATCATGTGTCCTGTTAAGAAACAGATGCTGTAAGATTGAATGCTATGTGAAGTTATAGTTTGAAAATGAATACATCTCATCTCAGATTATGGAAAATTTTCTCTTTCTGGAGAGAAAGAAGAAATGACAGAGATAAAAATAACACAGAATTTTTTCCAGGTTGGGAAGTCATTTCTGTAGAGTTATTGAATGGTGATGTACCATGTTTTAGTCTCCTTGGAGCCTGTTCTTTTTCAAGAGTCAGGTATCCTAGTTAGGGGATCTCAGCCATGGTGGGCAAGTCTGTATGGTTTATGGTATATTTTGGAAAAATTGGTGTGCATTCATATGTGCCTTATATTTATAGAATTAATAAAAAGATTAGAAATCAGGAAGGATGTAAATTTAATAGTACATTGTACTTTTTCTCACTTCTTTTTTTCTAAAAATAGATACTCTCTTTTTTTAGGTCTCGATCACATAGCAAGAATCCCAAAAGGTAAGTGTTACACAAAATATAAGTAGTGAAGTTAGGTTTTTTCAGAGGTAGTTTTTATAGATTAAGTATCTTTTAAAAATGAATGAGAATTACTAGGTTAGTACTCCATTCTTTTGTAGTTCAAGTTTGGGTATTATGGTTTAAGATGAAATTGGTTGGGGCAGCCTGGGTGGCTCAGCAGTTTAGTGCCTGCCTTCATCCCAGGACATGATCCTGGAGATCCTGGGATCGAGTACTGCTTTGGGCTCCCTGCATGGAGCCTGCTTCTCCCTCTGCCTGTGTCTCTGCTTCTCTCCTTCTCTCTCTTTCTGTGTCTCATGAATAAATAAACCTTAAAAAAAAAAAAGATGAAATTAGTTAGAAGATACTCATGAACTACAACTTAATTTTATTAGAGTAAAATTATATACAGTACCCTGGAGTTAAAGCTAAAAGCACTGGGGCTCTGGCTGGCTCAGTTGGAGCATGTGACTTCCTGATCTTGGGGTTGTGAGTTCAATCCCCATGTTGGGTATAGAGCCTACTGGGGAAAGTGCAGGTTAAATATACTACAGAATTTATTTTAAAAATCATTTTGGGGGGGGATCCCTGGGTGGCGCAGCGGTTTGGCGCCTGCCTTTGGCCCAGGGCGCGATCCTGGAGACCCGGGATCGAATCCCACGTCGGGCTCCCGGTGCATGGAGCCTGCTTCTCCCTCTGCCTGTGTCTCTGCCTCTCTCTCTCTCTCTTCTCTGTGTGACTATCATAAATAAATAAAAATTTAAAAAAATAAAAATAAAAATCATTTTGGGTGGTTAAGTGTCAGAAATACAGGTCGAAGAGGTTAAAAATGTTGAAAATATAAGGTTAAATAGCTGAATACATTTTTTTAAAGATTTTATTTATAGAGCAAGTGAGAGAGTGAACATGGGGGTGAGTAGGAGGTGGGGCTGAGGGAGAGGGAGAAGCAGACACCACTGAGCAGCAGGGAGCCCAGCTCTGCCAGATGCCTAGCTGACTGAGCTACCCAGGCACCCCTAGTTGAATACATTTTTGAAAGGAGTGGGTTATTGAAGGGAAACTAAAATTTTTATTAGTTTATATCTTTATTTTCACTTTATATAAGTTTATTATTACTTATCCCTTTGTACAGAGATGACCATAAACTTTAAAGAGTGCTTAAATCCTTAAAGAGGATAAGAAAACACTTTCTGTTGACTTTTGGAACTAAAATTTTAGGGCTTTTAGAAGGCTTTAGTATTTACTAGCTGCTGACAGTTTTTTGCTGAGGAAGGTGGGAAAAACATGGTTTATCTCATTTTTAACTTTTCATGTGTAGTTCGCATGAGTCCATCCCCACGTAGAACGCCCTTTCTTATTGTCAGAATCTAAGTACTCTTAAGTTTAAAGAGTAACTATTTCTCGAGAACTTTTCTCTGTAAACTAGAGCATTTGTTGTTATAAAAGAAAAACCTGCCCAGTTGTGTCGGCCAATTTATGTTGTTTCTGAAATCTAGGATGAGAAGTGGAAACATTAATTGGTGATACTATTCTTGTTTACTGGTTGATCAATGCAAATTAGTCCTTTTGTTGAAAAAAAAAAAAGATACTTAAACTGTGTACATAGAACATCTTCAGATACTGAGGCTAGGAATTTATTTTCTACCGTTCCATTCCCAGCCACTTTTCTTATGATTACAATAGTCTCTTTGCTGTCTCTTAATTTCTGGACTTGTCCAATCCCCTTCATTACCTCTGTTTTTCACAAATCAGCTTGAATGAACCCTTTAAAAAGTGAAGTAAATTATATCAACCCTCTGTTCAAATTCTCCAAAGGTTTTCCATTTCACTTAGGGAAAGTGGAAATCCTCACTATAGCTTTTAAAAGTAGAGTGATCAGTCTAAGAGTGGGGTGGTAGGTACCAGTTTATATTTTGTGTCAACATATTTAATAGCTTCCCCCTGCCCTTCATATAATTTATCATTGAGAGGGCATCCTGGTTTGCATTAAAAGGTATGTGGTCATCCTGCCTGTAAGACCCCTGATTTATTCCTGGTGCTCACTTCATTTTAGGCAAACAGGTATTTTTAGGTTCTCTAGCATTCTGAACTTTCTTCAACCTCAGGGCCTTTGCTCCTGTGTTCCCTCTATCTCAAGCACCTTATTTTGAGATGGCTGATTAGCTGATTACCTTAGTTCATCTTTGTTAAATGCCATTTTACCAGAAAAGCCTTTTCTACCTATTTTTTTTCTACCTATTCTTTATAAAAGATGACCACTTCATTTCTCTGTTGACCTTAACCTTTTTATTTTTATTTATTTTTTTTAAAGATTTTACTTATTTATCCATGAGAGAACCTGAGAAAGGCAGAGACACAGGCAGAAGGAGAAGCAGGCTCCGCACAGGGATCCTTATGTGGGACTCAATCCCAGGATCATGCCCTGGGCCGAAGGCAGACGCTCAACTGCTGAGCCACCCAGGCGTCCCACCTTTTCCTTTTTAATGTATTCTTTTTTCACTAGCTCACATTTCTTTGTTGACTTCTTTTTGGAGTATAATCTCCATGAGGTTAAGGACTTCACTTCATTTGCTGCTCAGTCTTCCTATACCTAGAACAGTGAATGTGCACTCAGTAATACTTTCATTCTTTTTTAAAGATTTTATTTACTTATTTGAGAGCAGAGGCAGAAGGAGAGGGAGAAGCAGACTCCCTGCTGAGCAGGGAAAGCGGCTTGGGGCTTGATCCCAGGACTCTGGATCATGACCTGAGCTAAAGGCAGATGCTTAATCAATTGAGTCACTCAGACCCCCTAAATTCTACTTACTTATTTTTTTTGTTCGTTAATTCGTTCGTTCATTCATTCGAGACACAGGGAGAGAGACAGGCAGAGGGAGAAGCAGGCTCCATGCAGGGACCCTGACGTGGGACTTGATCCTGGGTCTCCAGGACCACGCCCTGGGCTGAAGGTGGCGCTAAACCGCTGAGCCATGCAGCTGCCCCCTAAATTCCTTTTAAATGAATAATTGTCTAGAATTTTTTTAAAAGATAGAATTATGGGGATCCCTAGGTGGCGCAGTGGTTTGGCGCCTGCCTTTGGCCCAGGGCGCGATCCTGGAGACCCGGGATCGAATCCCACGTCAGGCTCCTGGTGCATGGAGCCTGCTTCTCCCTCTACCTGTGTCTCTGCCTGTCTCTCTCTCTGTGTGACTATCATAAATAAATAAAAATTAAAAAAAAAGATAGAATTATGCATTGAAAGACATAGGTTCATTATAATAGCTCAAAATGAGTAACAAAATTCCATTTAACAAAACTTCATGTTGACATAAGTTGGATGCTTTTAAACTTCACTTAACAAAATCATTACTTGCACAGCCCGGGGGGCTCAGCAGTTTAGCACAGCCTTCAGCCCAGGGCGTAATCCTGGGGACCCGGGATCAAGTCCCATGTCGGGCTCCCTGCATGGGGCCTGCTTCTCCTTCTGTCTGTGTCTCTGCCTCTCTCTGTGTGTTTCTCTCTCTCATGAATAAATAAATAAAATCTTTAAAAAAAATTATTACTTGAAAATAGTTTGTAAATTGTATCACCTGAATAATATGCTTTTGAATTTATCAAATTATGAGAAAACACCATATTCATAAGGTGATGAAATTTTTAATAGCTTTATCGAGGTATTATTTACATACCATAAGTTCACCCATTTAAAGTGTATAAGTCTGTCATTTTTAGGGGATCCCTGGGTGACTCAGTGGTTTAGCGCCTGCCTTTGGCCCAGGGCGTGACCATAGAGTCTTGGGATTGGGTCCTGCATCGGGCTCCCTGCGTGGAGCCTGCTTCTCTTTCTGCCTGTGTCTCTGCCTCTCTCTATATGTCTCTCATGAATAACTAAATAAATAAAAATCTTTAAAAAAACATGTTTAGTGAATGTAAGTGAATTTAGTGAATATAAGTGAAAAAGTTGTGCAATTGTAAAAGTTTAGATCATTGCCGTCACTCTTAAAATGATCCTTAAAACAACATTCCATACCTTTCTTCCTATTTGTTTTCTCTCAGATGTTTTATGTCCTCTGCATGTCCCATTCCAGCCCTCACCCCACACATCAAAGTGTTTTTCTCTTGGCTTCTTCAAAACCGTTTTCCTTTACTGTACTTGTAAATACTTTTTTTCTCATTTCAAATAAAGTTCTCTAAAATGATTTATGTGTGTTAGTTTTTTTCCTCCCAAAATTAAGTACTGCTTTAATAGAGAACTGTCTTACTGTGTTATTATACTGTGACTAAGCATATTGCGGCATTCAAACTTACTTTGATGGTCCTATAACCTTTTTAATTCAGACTTAGTGATTTATCCTAGATAATATTCTCCTTCCTGCCTCTCCTCACTTTTATCCGTGTCCATCAGATACATACTTTGTTACTAAAGTATACCAAAAATCTTAAAAGTTTAAATGAAATGCATATTCATAAATCATCTAGAGAATACAATCCCTGTCATGTAGTAGTGCTGTGGATGTGTGGATTGTTTTCTTAATTTTTGTGATTTTTTTTTTTTTAAGATTTTATTTATTCATGAGAGACACACAGAGAGGCAGAGACACAGGCAGAGGGAGAAGCAGGCTCCATGCAGGGAGCCTGATGTGGGACTTTGATCCCAGGACTCCAGGATCACACCCTGGGCCAAAGGCAGGCGCCAAACCACTGAGCCACCCAAGGATCCCATTTTTATGATATTCTTGATTTAAATCTGTACAATATTGAATGACTCTGAAATTAGTGTTTTTTTATTTTGAAATTCTAGTATGTAGTTACTATGTCAGCATCTTATTTTGGTGTAGATTTAGCCAACTAGAAATAGAAATGGCATTAAGTCAGGATGTTGAGAAATCATTTGTCTTAAAAGAAGAGGCTTTAAGTAAAGGAGAAATGCATTGCTGAGAAAGTTAAAAAGTAAAGCAAATGTTTTTTGTAGGTCCAGGTCCAGAGAGCATCGCAGACATCGGTCTCGCTCCATGTCACGGGAACGGAAGAGGAGAACTCGATCCAAATCTCGGGAGAAACGCCATCGCCACAGATCCCGTTCTAGCAGCCGAAGCCGCAGCCGCAGCCACCAGCGAAGTGGGCACAGTTCTAGAGACAGGAGCAGAGAGCGATCCAGGAGGAGGTACTGAGGTGTCCATAAAAGGATATGGAACTACCTTTATGGTTTAGAGTTGGAATACTATTGGTTTGAAACTTGCATCTGGTCACATGTACACATTTGTGAGTGTATAACATTTTTTTCCCTGATTATATGGGTAGTTAAAGAATACACTTAGGAGCCAGAGTAAGAAATTGGAACCAATATGTGCTGCAGAGGTTATTGCTTTTTCTCTGCTCAGTGTATTTTGGGAAAAAAAAAGTACTTTGTGGGCAATTTTAGGTACCAGTACTCCGTTTTTTCAGTGTGTATTGGCGGATTGGGAGTTCTGAGAAGTCCTTTCATTTAAAGAGTTTAGCTTTTTTTGACTTACTGTTTTCCAAACCTCTTGAGCTGGTGCACTTTTTCAGAGCAGACACATTCTGGTATATTGTTTTATCTGCAGTATAGGTATGCATTGCTATATATAGTTAGCTTGGTGGGGTGGATTCAGAATTTGAGATTAGACTTTCTTGGCATGAAAACTTGAAAGGTGCAAGGAGGGCAGATCTAGACTGTGGTGTGTTGAAGGACCTGAATGTCAGGACAAAGGATTGGAATGTGGTAGAGCCTTAGCACTCACAAGCTCCCAAAACTTCTCAGGTCACAAGATGGTCCTTAAGCCAGGTTATTTCTATGGAACATGAACCATGCTTATAATTGCTTTTTTCATGTCAATTCTTCTTGAGCATATATGTAATAAACCTTTTTTGAGTGCCTAGCACCTACTAGTCTTAAATTTTCTATCACTTACTCTCCATAAAGCCCATGGTAGAATTCACAGAGTCTTTGGGGGAGGGGGTGGAGGAGAGGGAAGCCTTTCCTTAAAACCACTCATAGGTGGAGTTGTTGAATAGGCTTTCACTAAATATTTTCTTCCTTATATTTTTGCCTTGTTCCAGGTAGTTCTTTTCCCTCCTCCCCCAGCTTTATTGAGGTATGATTAACAAAATTAAAAGATATTTAATGTATACATTGTAGTGATTTGAGATGTGTGTGTGTGTATATATATACACACACACACACACACACATTATGAGAGGGGTCCCACCAGTGGTTAATTAACACATCCTTCACCTCAGGTGTTTATCCTTTTTTTTTTTTTTTTTTTGGTGAGAACATTTGTTCTACTCTTGTTAGCAAACTAGTTCAAGTAACATTAATCAGTAAGAATTATATACTTGCTTCTATACTAGGCCTAGTAAAAAAATAACCCAAGAAGTATACCATAGTTGAGCAACTTTATTCAAGTTAGAACATAAGACTAACATCTTTTAACATATAAAGTGCTACTGTGTACATCCAGAGTAATACAAGAGTTTAGATGAGGGAAATACCAGAGAAATAAAAATGGCTTCAGCTAGTAGGTTAAACCAGGTAGTAAAAAGATATTTGAGATGGACTGAATATCACAGATCAATGTAGAAATTTTCCCCTGTGGTTTACCTGAACTGTATATTTTAAGAGTCACCCTACTGGTTGATGGAAGGCCTAGAGAGTTTGTTTTGTGAACCTGCCCACTGGTCATTGTTTCTGGTATCTGTGAACTCTTAAATGTCTTTATTAAATGGGGGTGGGGATGGAAGGGAGGGGCATGTCTCCTCACCGGGGATTGTGTTATCCTAGTCCCTAATGATTCCTGCATTTTTGAAGTTGTATAGGACAGTTTTTCATTATACTACATGACACCCTTAATATTTTCAGCATGTTCATAAACAGGTTTATTTTTGTATAACTATTAAAAGTTTTTGCTTTTCTCAAGAGCACTTCTAATCTCGGCAACTTATTCTCTTTCAAAGCAATCTTCTGTGTTTTTACCAAAAATTAGCAGCCAATTGCTATATATTTGAGTTTAAATTTCAAGGTAAAGGTCCAAGTTACAAGTCTTACTACTATATGCTTTTCCCCAACTGTGAAATACTGGTCTGATATAATTCTGTTGGTGACATTTCCTTGGCAACAGCTATCTTAATAAATGAGGACTTACTTGCATTTTTCTACTTCCTGGTCTGTTCAAACACCTAGTGCAGACTTGAGAGACTACTTGGGTTCAGTGGCCTTTGGCCAAGGATCATTATCCTGTCCTTCCCCATCTTTGAAGTACCTATGTTATCAGGATTAGTGGTAATTTGATTGACATAGTGTAAGTAAACTGCTTATGGATAGGATGTTGTAATCTCTCACAAAATCCTAGTTGATGCTCATCTCATGGTTATTTTCCAGTTAGTACTGACCTGAGACTTACCTGCAACTGTGTCTTTAATTCTTAGGCATCATCTCTCTCCATATTCCATTCTTAGAAAGATTTTGGAGAGGATTAGTATAACCAGATATGCACTGTGACCCCCCCCCCATCTTTTTAAAAATCATGCTTATTAAAAAACAAGTAGAATACTCAAAGTTGACAATTTTGGTTTAATCTATACTCAGTTTTAGAAATAAAGTTGAGAAAGTTTTTTCCTGCCTTAGAAGTTCAAAGTATTACTTGACCCGTGTTCAGAATTAGGATCTGAGGCCTGGTTAAGTGAGATGATTATATAAAAAGTACTATGTCACCTTTAAGAACCAAATAAATGTACTATATATTACAGATTCAGATTCATTCTAGATGTTGAAAGTATAGATTTTATATTCTGATCCCATAATATCCTTTGCTTTTCCTTCTGATTGAATCTCTGATATGAGCTTGTTATCACTTACCTTTCTTAATGAAATTGAGTATGGGAATGGAGAGATGATATGAAGAAACCATTATGGTTAATCAGGATATAGGATGATCATCTTTCTGTGTCTTCCATTCTTATTTTGGTTGAATAAGCTCACTCAGGAAGAATAAAGAAGATTGCAAAAATAATAAAGGGTTATTTATTTAAAGCCATGTCATTGATTAGTTCTCTTATCCAAGTCAAGTATTGGCGAACTGTTGCCTGCAGGCCAATCTGGCCTCATAACCTGTTCTTTGAATAGCTAGGGAGCTATGGGTGGTTTTTTACATTGTTAAAGGGTTGATAAAAAGAAAAGGAAGAAGAATACCCCCTAAAATAATTGAATCTCTGGCCAGACAGCAAAGAGAAAAAGGTCTGCTGACCCCCCCCCCATTCTATATCCTTAATTTCCACCCAATTTGGAACCTCTATTTTGTTTTTTAAAAAATTAGTTAACACTTTGATTTTTAAAGGTATTGTCTCTATACTATTTTTATATCAAATGTTTGCCATTAATTGGAAAACCTTTATGATTGCCTCAGAAAATGAGAATATCCTCCATTAAGTCATTATTTTAGCTTATGGTTTCTGACCCTTAGCTATTTGTTTTCACCCATCTCCCTTGTCAGAATGGGTAGGTAGTGAGTGCTCTTTTCGGTCAGAAAACTGGCTCCTCTTGTCTTTTCTTGGATGTATTCTTCTGTATAACTTCAGCTATCAGTACCTTAATATTTATCCGATTCTTTCATTTGGATATTGGGTTTCCCAACACATTTTGCTCCTCAAATTAATATTTTTCAGATCCTCAAAAGAAAGATTCAGAGACCAAGACTTAGCATCACGTGACAGAGACAGGAATTCAAGAGACAGATCACCTCGTGACAGAGATCGAAAAGATAAGAAGCGGTCCTATGAGAGCGCTAATGGCAGATCAGAAGACAGGAGGAGCTCTGAAGAGCGCGAAGCAGGGGAGATATAATTAGCTGTGTACATATCCTCAATCCTTAAGCTTCCTATGGAGTTACATACTATTGTTTAGTTTACAGCTGTTGGGGGTAACAGTGAGAAGTTCCAGACTCCGATCCAAATAGGCTAGATGCACAGTATCTAACTTGATCTGAACTGAACTTGTTTCCCTGATGAAGCCTAAAAACTACATCCATAGTTTCTGGTGAACCTGTAATGCGATTCTGAAAGTACAGTTTTATATAATAAGATGCCGATATCTTTATTCTTTCTAGTAGGAGTGATAGTGAACGAATTGTGTTGCTTGCCTTGGGATTTTTTGAACATTTGTAAAATGCTGTCTTCCTTTCTAGTCCACAAACAACAGCTTTCAGAATTTTTCTTTTTATTCTTCTTCCTCTGACTTTTGTATCCCCTAATACCTCCACCCTCTAATTATAAGAGAAAGTGGGAGCAGGGAAGCAATATAACTTCTGTTCTAAGGTTCTGTTCTCATTTATTACTAGCTGATTACAGAGCATTTATACTGGAAAGTGCTGGAGAAATTTAAATACTGAGAGGTTTTGTTTTGTTTTAAGGTGCCTATTTAGAGTTGGAAGTTGAACAGCTGTTGCATTACATACTTTGCTTTTTTATTGAAATTTTGAAATCAAACATGTCTTGATTTTTCTGTTCTATTGCTATGTTCAGGATGTTTTGGAAAGGGGGGTGGGGGCAGGGACTCTTTCATAAGCACTTGTTTTATTTTGTGTGTGTGGAGTATAAAGGTTACAACCTTATTGTAAAAAATAATAAAATGAAACAATCACCACCACCGTCATTAAACTGTAACTTGTCTAGTAAATTGTCACTAGAACTATTTGCTGTGGGCATTTCTTCTATTCTGTTATATCATTATTAGTGCCTTACCGTGCAAGGCACCAAAGGAAATAAAACATATACTTGCCAAGATGAACTGTTGGTCCACTTGGGCCCCCTAGCCTCTTCAAGACTGTAACAATTGCTGTGGAGAAGGACTAGACCTGCAAAAGCAATGGAGTTTTTTTGGGCTTTTTTTTTTTTCATTCAGCAAACATGGTGTGATAACACTTTCTCCACTGAAGAGCTATGTACTTACTAGTCATTTTATACCAGTGATTTTAAACAGTAGTTGTTAGGTATCACACTTGTGATTCTAGAAAATCTAGTAACAAATATTTAGTGTCTGTGTTACAGTAAACTAACCTCCCCTCACCTTCCAAGAGTTGTCTTTGGTCCCGAGTGTGACAAATTAATATGACTCACGTACGTGGGCCACAGAGGTAAACTAATTCTGAGTGGCAAATTTACATCTAAAAGGACACTCACTAAGTTTACTAAGTTGTGCATCAATAACTGAAGGTTTCTTGCCATATTTAGTTCCACACACTCATCTGAGACCCATCTCCCTTAGTGCCCCACTTTCTTTTAATCTTGGTTTCTGAAAAATTATTTTGTATCTACTTTGGATGTAATACCTTGGGGTATGGAGTAAGATCAAACAGGTTGAGCTGGTATGTGCAAGAAGACTGACCAAACTCTAAAACATTGGGAAATGTTTTAGCATTAAGTGAAGCTTATACTTCTCTGCCTAATTGTATAAATGTTTATTAGCTGTTAATGCAGTTCTCATTTGTAGGTAGTACAGGCTACATGACCATCTACAGGTCAGCAGTAGCCAGTGAAGGACATCACTTGGGGTTAGGCTACCATGTTAGATAACTTCAGCTGCCTGGCTCTCTAACAATCCCATCTTAAAAATCCTTTTATTTTTTATTTTTATTTTTTTTTAAAGATTTTATTTATTTATTCATGATAGTCACACAGAGACAGAGAGGCAGAGACACAGGCAGAGGGAGAAGCAGGCTCCATGCAGGGAGCCCGACGTGGGACTCGATCCCGGGTCTCCAGGATCGTGCCCCGGGCCAAAGGCAGGCGCCAAACTGCTGCACCACCCAGGGATCCCATCTTAAAAATCCTTTTAGAACAATTTTGTTGCTTAGGTACTTCTAGTATTTGGAATGAACAATCTACATTTTTAATCATTCTTAAGCCAGGGCAGCTACTCTGAATTAGAATAACCCTAAAATCTCATTATCCTTTAGAAGGTCAGTACCACATCCTCCATACTGAGAAGGACCTTAAGACTAAAATAACAATCAAACCTGTCTATATACTATTTACACACAGTTTTATACAGGGCAACTTATTGACAGAGGCAATTGGGTGGGTGGATAGATGATCCAGGGCACTGAGCAGCTTTCTACCCCTCTTTTCTAAGCCATATTTTCAGCTATCTGGACCTTAATCCTCCCAATTTTTTTGGAGCAAGGAACACGATGGTGAGGTCATAGTTATCTAAAGTGTGGAGGGGAAAGATGGCAGCAGAAGACCCTAGGCTTGCCTCATCCCACAAATAGAACTATTCAGTTATCCTAGATACCTCAGAAATCAACCTCAAGACTGGCGGAATAAATCCCACGACTAAAACCAAAGGTAGGAGACATAGAGATGGAGTTTGGGGAGAAATGGATCCTGCCTGCTGCAGAGAGGAGGGAGCCCAGGTTATGCAGAAGGTTGAGAGAGACAAAAGAACATGGAACGCAAAAGGAAAACCTTTTCTCAGAACCATTGGTTTGGAAAACTCAATTTCTTGAGTTCTTGGAACCAGTAAGACTTAAAGCCAGAAGTTGTGTTAGCAGGTGGGGCTCTGAGGGAGTTCAGTCTGGAGACATTGCAGCTTCTCTTGGAAAGAAGGCAGACAACCTGAGGACAGACACTGTGGAAATGGCGATCCGAAGAGTTTGAACCGGTGGAACCCAGCAGGGAGATTATTTTATCTTCTCACAGTGTGACCGAAGACAGCATTCACAGAGCTATCTCTCCATGAGCAGAGAAGCTGGCTGGCCCTTGCCCGCTCACACCCCTCAGTATAAACACCTGCAGGAACCAGTGCAGCACCTACACTGATTGCCTAACTTGCCCCACACCCCTGTGCTTCAGTAGAACTGTTCTTCTCAATCAAGCCTGCTTTAGTCCAAGTGGAGCGGGCCCCCCTTATCCAGAAGACCAGCACAACCCCCTGTCCGTACCATGTCTCCCAACCAGTTTTACAGGGCCTCATTTCCAGTGAAGGTGGTGACAAGTTTCATCTCACAAGCTGATCAAAGCACACCTAAAACTCGCCAACCAAAACATTCAGGCCAGGGGCCAAACACTGCCCACAGCAGGCAAAGAGAACTTCTGCAGACAAAGGGCCCAAGGGGAAGAGGAGCCATAACACAAAAGTACAAAACACAGCACACAGCACTGTGTGAAGCACCAGGCCCTGGGCACTACATGAATTCTTTATAAGGTCATTACTTTCAGGAGTAAGAGACATAATTGGCAAACCCAGAGAACCAGGCAGGGACTTAGAGAAAATGAGAAGGCAGATGAATTTATCCCAAATCAAAGAAGGCAAGGTCATGACCAAAGACCTCTAAGTGTAAAAGAAGTAACATGCCTGATGAAGAATTTAAACCAGGGATCATAAGGATATTCACTGGGATTGAGCTGGAAGACATCAGTGAGACCCTTAACACAGGAGTTAAAAAAGAATAAAAGATGAGCGCAATAAATGAGATTAGAAGCATGCATGATTTAATGAACAGGCTGGAAAAAGAGCAACAAATCAATGATTTCAAGTAATAGCTGAACAAGAGAGAAATTTTACAAAACAAATTCTACAAGACTTAGGGAACTCCTTGTCTCCATCAAATGTAATAACATTCATATTATAGAAGTCCCAGAAGAAGAGACAGGGGTGCCTGGGTGGTTCAGTGGTTGATTGTCTGCCTTTGGCTGAGGGTGTGATCCCAGGGTCCTGGGATCGAGTCCTGCACTGGGCTCCCCGTGGGGAGCCTGCTTCCCTTTGCCTATGTCTCAGCCTCTCTCATGAATAAATAAAATCTTTTAAAAGAGAGAGAGAGAAGGGGACACAAAACTTGTAGCTGAAAAATTTCCTACTCTGGGGAAGGAATCAGACATCTAGTTGCAGGAGACACACAAAACACCCATCAAAATCAACAGAAGCTGGCCAACACCAAGACATTGTAATTAAATTTGCAAAATATACTGATAAAATCTTAAAAGCACCAAGACAAAATAAATCTGTTACTTACAAGGGAAAACCCATAGGCTATCAGGTTTTTCATCAGTCAGTCTCCAAGCTGGAAGGGAAGGCATGATCTGCTCCCAAGTGCTAAAAGGGGAAAATGCAGCCATCAATACTCTATGCAGCAAAGCTAGCATTCAAAATGAGAAATAAAGCATTTCCCAGACAAAAATTAAGGTTCATGACCATTAAACCAACTGTGCAAGAAATACTAAAGGAGACTCTTCATAGATCTAAAGTAACTGTGGAGGTAGGAAACAAAAGCGTGAAAGTGACTTTCTATTAAAATCTTTCAAGGAACTCACAAAATAAAAGATGCAAAATATGACAACATATACTAAAATGTGGGGCAGGATAGGAGTCTAGCATGGGTTCAAACAGGCAGCCATCAACTTAATATGTATTAGACTGCTATATGCAAAAGAGGTTATATGCAACCCTAATGGTAACCATAAATCATAATATAAATATGCAAAGGAGAAATTCAGACTGCTCAAGAAAACCAGCAAAGCATGAAAAAAAAAAAGGCATCAGAGGAAATCCCATAAACCACCACAAAACAATAAAGTGAGAATAAATGCTTGTCAATAATTACTTTGAATATAAATGGACTAAATGCTCCAATCATAAGACATAGGGTGACTGGATAAAAAAAAAAACAAAAAACAAGACCCATCCAAATGTTGCCTACAAGAGACTTAAAAAAATTTTAAGATTTTACTTTTAAGTAATCTCCACACCCAACAGTGGGCTTAAACTGACAACCCCAAGATCAGGAGTTTCATGCTCCACCGACTGAGCCAGCCACGTGCCCCAAGAGACTCTTAGACCTAAAGACACCTGCAGGTTCAAAGTTAGGGGATGGGGGATCCGGTGTGCATAGGTGCTAGGAGTACACAGCTCCAGGTCCAGTCTGGGCAGTGTACAAGTCGCTGCGGCTCAAAGAGGCATGGCCAAACTGCTTGAATATCTGCGTTTCAGTTTCTGTGCTTACTGAAAGTTTTAATTCATCATGGATAATCTGTCATCAGAAGAAATTCAGCTCAGAGCCCACCAAGTTATTGATGAGTTTCTGGAAAGTACCAGGAGAATCCTGGGTTTAGCTATTGAGTCTTAGGATACAGGAATCAAGATTATCACTATGCTGGATGAACAAGGGGAACTAAACCGCATAGAAGGCATGAACCAAATAAAGATAACGAGAGAAGCAGAGAAGACTTTAATGGAACTCTACAAGGCAACATGGGTAGATGGTGGAGACAACTCCTCTAGTAATTGAAGAATATTAGTAATGAATATATTCTAGTAATTGAATATATAAGCAGCCAGCCAAGCGACAATCAGCCTCAACAACCAACCTCTGGAGCAGCTGGTGGTGGATACATTACTTATAACTAATGATGCCAGAGAAGATGAGATGGAAGAGAACCTGACTCAAATGGGCAGTATCTTAGGAAACCTAAAAAACATGGTCCTGAATTAGTCAATGAGATTGACGCTCAAAATGAACATGTAGACTGGATCACAGAAAAGGCTGACACCAACAAATACTGTCTTGATGTTGCCAATGCCAGAGCCAAAGAAACTCACTGACAGCTAAAGCTGCTGCTGTATTTCTTTATCCTGTATTCACTTCTGTAGCGCCTCCTTCAAAGTCATTACCTTTACAGAGTTTGACAGTTTGG